TTTAAAGTTAAAAAAAAAAATTGCGAAGAAAACCAAAGACTCAGGGAGCAATGGATTCACGGACTACATGAAATATAGCCGATATGAGCCTGAGATTAGAAGAACTAGATGGTATCTGGTTACTGCTATAGACTACTCTGACTGAAATCACAAACAGCTGGAGAACAATGTATCACAAAAAATCAGATTCACAAAAGGACCAAATTGATCTGACGCAGACTAGAGGAAGCCCAGGGCCTATAGCCATAAGACACCATTCTGACTTGGAAATGAAGCCATTCCTGGAGACCTTTCAGACAAACAAGAGATAAGTCCTTAAAATAAACAATAACGCCCAAGAGGAACTTGTTCCTTAGAGCAATCACTTAAATGAGATCAAAAAGACTTCGCCCAAAAGTAATGCCAAGCTGGCAGTAAGGGGTAGAAACTGTGGATGAAAGGAAATGAAGACCAGGACAGAAATGGGGAATGTGCTGGCACATTGTGGGAAGCTCAATCAATGTCATGGAGCACTTTAAGTATAAAGTATGGTGTGGGTTAATGCACTGGACTGCAAAGTCGGTTTGACCCACAAGGTTGGCAGTTCAAGCTCACCAGCCACTCCTCGGAAATCTTATACAGGGTTGCTATGAGTCAGAACCAACTTGATGGCACTTAAAAACAACATCAAATGAGAAACTGTATATAGCCTTTCATCTAAAGTAAATAGTAAAACTAGTTTTTAAAATAATGCTGTTGAAAGAAATTAAAAAGCGTTTTCATATAACCTAGTAATTCTGCTTCTAAATACATGGTAGTGGTTATGTGCCATGGAGTAGGTTCCGACTCATAGCGGCCTTGTGTTTCCGAGGCTGTAAATCTTTACGGGAACAGAAAGCCTCATCTTTCTCCCTCGGAAACACTGGTAATTTCCAACTACTGACTGTGAGATTAGCAGCCCAATGCGTAACCACTATGCTACCAGCGCTCCTCCTAAATACAAATCCAAGAGAAATGAAAGCATGTGTATGCAAAAACATCCATTGCATATGAATGTTCATAGTTCATAGCAGTACTATTTATAATAGCCAAACGTAGAAATAATCTAGATGTCCAACTATCTTAAAACAAATGTGACATTAGAATATCCATATAGTGGAATATTATTCAACCATAAAATGGAATGAAGTGCTGATATATACTAGAATATGGATGAATCTTAAAAACATACAGTAAGTGAAAGAATCCAGTCACAAATGACCACATATTAGGATATTCCACTTAAATAAAATAGCCATAACAGGCAAATATAGTGAGATAGAAATGGTTGCCTATGGCTATGAGGGATGAGGAGTTAGGGTGTGATAGCTAAAAGATGTAGGGGTTCTTTTTTGGAGTGATGGAAATGTTCTGAAGTTGTAGTGATGGTTACATAGCTCTGTGAATATACTAAAAACCACAGAATCATACACATAAAAGGGTGAATTTTATAGCAGGTAAACTGTCTCTCAACAAAGCTGTTATGGGGGAAACAAAGGAAGGGCTACAAAAGAAATAAAATGCATTTGAGAACTTTTTTGTCAACGGTGAAACATTCTGACCATAAAAGAAAAAAGTACACCTGGTTTCCATACTTTTTAATATTCTTGCAAATCATCCACTCAATGTCAGGAAGAGGGGTTCCTCCAGCCATACATCTCACAGTTTGTCCCCCAGTAGAGCTGTGATGGTCATCAACCAAATCCAGAATGGAGGAGGGAACTGCAAGAAATTGAAGGAAGTCAGAATTGAGTGGTTCATGTCCCAAAACTCTGGAGACTGCAGATTAGAAGTCTAGTTCATACCTTCTCCACATGACATCCCAACCTACAAATCAGTGAGCCACCCTTTTTGTTGTGAAGTCCTGTCAAGTCAGTTACGACTCATAGCGACCTTGTATAGGGTTTCCAAGGAGCAGTTGGTGAGTTTGAACCACTGACCTTGCAGGTCAATCTGACCTTACGGTCCAGTGCTTATCCTATAGTGTCATGCCAGGACTCCAGTAACCACCCCATTATTGTTGTTGTTAAGTACCGTCAAGTCAGTTTCAACTCACACTGAGTCTGTATAAGGTTGCTGAGGAGTGGCTGGTAAGTTTGAACCACCGACCTTGTGGTTCAAACTGACCATGCTGTGCCACACCAGGACTCCAGTAATTACCCTGTTGTTGTTAAGTGCCATGGAGGTGGTTCCGACTCATAACAACCCTATATAGCTTCTGAGGAGAGGCTGGTGAATTTGAACTGCCGACCTTGTGGTTCAAACCTACCTTTCTGTCCAGTACCTTATCCAACAGCACCACACTGGGACGTAAAGTCAACTAATTAATTCAACTAGAGAGTTACTATAAAACAACATTTACACATGTGCATCTGCAGAATGTGAATTTTCAAAGTATTGCTGTGGCGCTGTGGGTTAATGCATTGAACCACAAGATCAGTTTGAACTGCAAGGTCAGTGGTTCAGACTCACCATCAGCATCTCAGAAACAGGGTCATTATGGGTCAAAACCAATTGGACAGCACTTAACAACAACAACATTGGTCAAATAAGTTAAGGCTCCATCTGAGACAGCACTCGGCACATGGTAGGCACTCAGGGAACAGATGCTAAACCTGAATGCAATAGACTTGGACACTCTATTATGTTAGGGGCCACTGTATGATGTCTACAAGGGAAACTAAGCACAAAGGTCAAACCCTCCCGAACAATCCAAGGCTATCCAAATCAGAAGGTACCACTTCACTTATTGAAAAACTGGAGGTGCCATACTGAAAAATGGCACTGAGGAAGAAGTTAGAGCCAAGGAATCACCAAACAGACTGTTGTCAAGTAGCCCAGACTCTCCCCAAATTTGCTGAAGTTGTAAGTTCAACAAAGCCATCCACAATGTTCTTGTGATCTGACTAAAGGGCTGCGTTTTCCTCCTCAACCTAACAGAACAGTGAAATTTTCAAAGCTATCATTATCTTTACGTTGCCTTTACATACCTTGAGTTAACAGTTCAAAAGTATAGCTCTTCACATCGTCTTCATTTTTAACAACAATGGTATAATGACCACTATCTTCTTCCTTAGCACGGATCAGCTTTAGTTTACTTCGATACCTTAAAAGAAAAAGACTTTTTGCTTCAACAAATATTAGTTAAAGAAACACAAATTATTAAGCCATGACAGTCTTCAATTTAAAAATTATTTGTGTAAAAAGCCAAAAAGTACCTCCCTCCTCTCTTTATTTTAGTATGAATCATCTCTTTTCTAAGATTTTCAGTACATTTCCCACAGGTAAAAGGCCCAAGTTCTAATCACTTCATTATTACAACAGAAAACTAGGTATTATGATATAAGGAATGACTCCAAGACCCAATGGCTCTGATCAGGCCTGACTTCTGGATGGAAGTAAACCCATCCACCTCACTTAAAAGAACAAAACAAACCAAACGAAATCCTTAATGTGTGTCTTCTGAAGAAATACTTGATTTTCCTAAATATCTATCACTTAGATAGTTTGACCAAACAATGAAACATCACTGTAGAAATCAGAGAAGGTCCTCTCTATATATTGGTAGAGATCTCAGAAATAGAATATTTGCACTTGCTTGTATTAGAGAAACTCTGGAAGGTGTCACAAGAACGTAAGGAAACTAATGAAACCATTCCACGTAGTGGGGTAGGCGGAGAGGGGGTAACTGTGCAGGGCAGGAGAGGAGTGAGGAATTTTACAATGTACTTTCTTTGTGTTTGTTCTTAAAGCCTGTGATTTCAACTATTCGAAAAGTGAATTAGGAAAATATATTTCTATGCATTGTTATTGTTGTTGTCAGGTGCCATCGAGTCGGAACCTACTCATAGCGACCCCATGCACAGCAGAACGAAACAATGCCTGGGCCAACCTCACTACCGCTGCCACACTTGAGTCCATCAATGATGCCACCTGGCCAATCCACCTCACTAGGGGTCTTCCTCTGTTTCTCTGACCCTCCACCTTACCCACCAGCATGACATCCTTCTCCAGCGACTGTTTCCTCCGGACAATATGTCCAAAGTATGAGAGACGAAGCTTAGCCACCTTGGCCTCCAAGGAGCACTCTGGCTGCACTTCTTATTACTAAAGGGAAAATTTCCAAAAAGATTTCTTCTTCTTGCTGTTAAGTACTAGCAAGTCGGTTTCGACTCATAGAGACTCTGTATGGAGTTTCTGAGGAGCAGCTGGTGGGTTTGAACTGCTGACCTTTCAGTTAGGAATCCAGTGCTTAGAGCACCACACTAGGACTCCAGAAAAAATTTCTTACACTCACTATAAATGACATTTGACCATGTATGTGTGTTTCGGTGCATGCCTTCTGAGTTCCAACCTTGGATTAAGACTATAAGAAACCTCACAATACCATTTAATCTAATGCCTTGCCTTCAGGGCACAGGTATGATTAACCCTACCTTAAAGATGAGGAAACTGAGGCTGAGTGCTGACTTACTCTAAATTTTATCCCCAGTTAAGACATGGACAATAGTCAATTGGCACAAAGTGATGAGATCGAAACTAACCATTGTATATCTCTCCCTTAAACAAAGTTCCACAGGCTCTACTCTTATCTCCAATATAGGCCTTGAATGGGGCAAATGAGTTTCAAATTAAACCCATTTTAATGTTTCAGATCATGTAAATTTATTGTCTTTGCATGATAATTGCCTTTGCAATTGGAATCACCATACATGTCTACTTTCAATATGGATGATGGCACTAAGGAAGAAAGATTTAATCCAAGTAGGTCCAATTTCACTTTCTTTCTTCCATGCCTACCTGGATCCAGTAAGCTGTTCCATTAGGGGGCCAAGATTTTCAGCTTTTCTCTCTTTACTTGATCATGAAATATTATCTAACGTCCTATTATTGTCACATTGCAATGTTTAATTAATATTTTAATTAAAGATACTTGACTTCATGCATTTGTGGGGATGGGTCGGCATAAGGAGTTAGGGTTGGGTTTAGGACTATGGCTAGGTCTAGGATAGGCATTGTTGTTGTTGTTGTTGTTGTTGTTAAGTGCCATCGAGTCGGTTCCGACCCATAGCGACCCTGTACAGGGTTTACGAGGGTGTAAATCTTTACGGGAGTAGAAAGCCTCATCTTTCTCCCGCGGAGCGGCTGGTAGTTTTGAACCGCTGGCCTTATGGTTGGTTCTTTTTTGGAGTGATGGAAATGTTCTGAAGTT